TGGGCAGGCCCCGTGTGACTCCTCAGACCCTTGGGTGGGATTTGCCTCTAAGATGGAGATGGATGGGTAACTGGGACTTTTGAGGAGGTTGCTGGGTACTAGGGGAAAGTAGTGAGGTGCAAGGTGGAAACAGAGGGGCGGACAGCAGGCTACTGCAATGTTCCACAGACACCACGAACGAGGGTATGATAAGTTGAATGGATGTATTTGGAGCAACACAGATTAAATACAGAGGTTTTGGGGGACAGGAAAGAATCAAGGATGATCCCAAGTTGTTGACCTGAACCTATGATAGGGTGGGTTGTTGGTTACTGCGTTCTCCCCCAGGGAAGCCCAGCAGAATGGGCACGACGCAGGCCGAGCAGGTTCCCAGCAGAGAAACGGTGAGCATGCCTGGAGGGTCCATGCCAAGGATCCGCATCCTGACAGAAAGGGGGAGCATGAGGAGAAGGAGAGCAGTGAGCACAGGACCCGGCTCAAAGGCCAGGGAGATGGCATGGGGCCCTCAGACATGGGCTCCTCGGGCAGAACGGAGACAGGGTTGGAAAGTGCGGACGGAAGACACATTCTTTCCTGCTACCCTAAAACCCTCTTTCCCAGCCCCACATGATGCTGGAGAAGAAATGAAGTAGTGGCACCAGCCAGCTCTCCATCTGCCCAGCCGTGTCCACGCTGGCTGTTAGAATCCGAGTCTGAATTCAGCTTCTGCTGCTCAATCTCCTTACTCCTTGCTCCTGTGAGTAGGGCAAGGTTCCTGCTAGGACCAGGGCTGCTCAGCAGGGGTGGTGGCAGGTGGGGAGTGAAGCTCTACCTGCACTCATGGTAGCTCCCATCTTCCCAGCAGTGCTAGCTTCTCACAGGAGCGTGAGCCCACCATGGCCATGAAGTGCAAGTCACAGGGTTCTAGGTTAGGGGCTCCTTTGATTTACCCCAAAGCTCTCCCCTCACTGTCTGGTCCATGGAAAAAATATCTTCCGCCAAACAAGTCCCTGGTGCCCAAAAGGTTGGGGGGCTGCTGTGGTAAGGCTTTGTGTTCATCATAATATAAGAAATGCTTTGTGATATTTATCAACCATCTTGTTTTGTTCAAATAATAGACTCATAGAAGCTGGAAGCTACTGAGGCCTCGTGCATGATCCAGTTCAACACATTCTTATTTATTGTTAGGGTTACTGCAACTAGAGGGGAAAGGCCTTCCCACGGCAGATGTGTAGCTGCAAACGGAAGTCAGAATTGCTCCAAAGCTAGCCAATTCCCGGCCTAGCCCACCGTCCACCTTAGCGTCGTCCTCAGCTCTTCTCCTGTATCTTGTCCCCAGTGGTTTCTCCTGATGCAGTTAGAGTCACATATTTTCTTTTTCCCTTAAAGTCACTGCTCCTTCACTGATGTGCTATGGTAGTCTTTGCTCCACCTGACTTCAGGCCTTCTTCGCTATGTCAGGAAATTAAGTCTCCTAGAGCATTCCCCAAATCTTTCTTGGCATCAAATTCACATGTCCTTGGAGGCTTATCTGTTGCTTGATGTCACTCCCCAATTTTCTCCGTGTTTGATGTTCTTGAGGGAGGAGGTCCAGGCAGAGCAGCAGCCCTCACGCGAGGACATCTGCATGCCCAGTGCCTCTCCTGGGAAAGTCGCTCAGCATTAACCTAGCAGGCCTTTGTGCTGCATCTCCGCCTAGAATCTCAGCACATCTCTAATGCGAACGGCTGTGGCTCGGGGCCTTTGTATCTCTAATTACATGAGCGTATGGATGTCATGCTACCCCCTCTATCTTCACAAATATTCCTACTGTGTCCCCAAACTGAACTCTTTCCTCTCCCTTAGAAAGGAAAAACCGCAATGTAAATGACGGAGAGAGGTCATGCAAAAGCACGTGGTCAGCTAGAGGTGCTGGCTGCCCTCTGCCCTTGATCTCCCTCCTCATCCTCTCTCTCTCTCTCACAGACACACACACACACACCCAGGCTATCCTAATTCGGTGTCCTTCCTCCTATGTTCCTCGTTATCCTCACACTAATCTATCACAACATCAAACCAACACATACCAGACAAACTTTCCTTTTCTGCGTTTGTTTGTTTTTAAGCAGGAAAGCATCGGAAGTCAGGAGTTTCCTAGTATTATCTCAGTTCTGATGCCAACACCATTTCAATACCATTTGCCGCCTTCTGAGTAATGGAGAATACTCAGGTTAGAGGTGATCCTAGAAGTTCACCATGCCCAGTATGAGCTCATCCAGGCTAGATGTTCACACCCACAGAGAATGTGTGGTCGCCCATTTCCTTGTATAGGAATTATACATCACTTTCCCTCACACTAAGGTAAAGCTTTGTTTGCTGTAGCTCTCCCCCATCTCTTCTAAATACACTACCTTGAAGCCAGAATATTGCTTCTGATTGAAGACATCTCTTCAGTCACTGGAAGGTACTATTGGGTCACTTATATGCTCTTGTTCTTGCATTAAATACTCCCAGTTTCTGCAATTGTTCTTTGTGATACAATTTAGCATTCCTTTAAAACCTGATGCTCTCCACTGAAAGTGTTCCAATTTGTCTCTTAACATATGTTGCCAACTTGCTGAACATATGAGGTTCAGAATTATTGAGCAATAAAAAGAAATGAAGAGACATGCTGCAACATGGGTACATCTTGAAAATCTCATACCAAATGAAAGAAGTCAGTTACCAAAGACTGCATATGGCACAGTTCCATTTTTATAAGATGTCACGACTGTGTAAATATAAAGAGAGAGAACTTAGAGAAATGGTTGTCTAGGACTGAATGGAGGGTTTGGGGAGACTAGTTAAGGGATGTAGGGGTTTTCTTTGGGGTTATGGAAACATTTGACAGTGGATTGTAGTCATGGTTCCACGACTTGCGAATATACTCAAAGCCACATTTTCATTTTCAGTGGGTAAGTTCTATGGCCCATCATTTAAATCTCTATAAAAACAGTTAATACAAACTCGCCATGTTCAGAAGGAAAAATAGTACTCTGATGTAGAGGGCTTTAACCTCTGTCACCTAAATTTCACTCTATAAAACAGAGGCATTAATGATGTCTGGCTCTTCCCCTTGACACGGCTGTTGAATCATATTTTGCAACATCATAATTATGTAAGTTATGAGTCTGAGTGTCTCTTACCACCGCATACGTGGGTTCTCAACAACATCCCCTTGTTGGTAACACATTTGTTTTACACATGATGGTAAGAAATCTTTGAAAAAAAAATCTTTTACTCGACTCAGGAGAAATAAGGGGCACTTAGTACTCACTAGACGAAGCCCTACTCTTCCCTTCATATTTAAAGCTCTACTTCAGTTTTGCTCCAAAACTCTTTGGGGTCATCACAGCCAAACTACATTTCAATGATAAAATAATTGCTATTTTTTATGTGCGCCTTTTGCTTATTAAACCTTTAGCAGGTTATGTCTAATCTGGACAGAATATTTATGTCTCTCCAAATTCGTATGTTGGAGTCCTGGTCCCCAGTGTGCTGATGTTGGGGGTGGAGCCTTTGGGAAGTAATTAGGTTTGGATGGGGTCGGAGGGAGAAGAGAGGCAGAGCACACAGCCCTCTCCGCCTGCCTGCTCCCCTTTCTGCTCTGTGAGGACACAGCAAGAAGGTGGCCTCGTGAGAGCCTCCCTGAGACCTCCCGGCCTGCAGAAATGCAGGAACACATTCCAGGGACTGAAGCCACCCGACCACGGTGCTCGGCCAGGGGGGGCCCATGCCACTCACACTCACCGGGGGTGCCTAAAGCTCCCGAAACACTGTCCTGCTGTCCCCTTCAGGATGCTCTTCCAGACTTGTCCTCCGGGGAATACCCTACCCACACCCATCATTCCACTACTCAGCATCATTTAGTTTGCTTCACCTATGGCCCGTTGACACTTCTTTCTTTCTATGCACTGGACTTTTAACTCCTCCCCTACTAGACAAACTTTTCAAACGATAAGGGTAACGTGTACAATTCTGCCACATCTTCGTCTGTCCAGGTAAGTTCTGTAGTTGTCTCCACATGGCCGACTGAGCCCTCGCTGGCTGAAACCGCTGGCCCTACACCACCTGGTCTGAAGCTCATAGCAAAGACAAAGACAGAGCGTCCCAAGAGGCGAATCCCCAAACCCTGTGCTGATTTCAGAGTTCCTTAGGAACACTGGAATGCCAGGAACTAGAGGGCCCAAGGAGATTAACAGGCCCACGCTGTCCTTTGATGTTTATTGTCAAAGGCCACTGGAGATGCCCAGGCAGGTCCTGACAGCGCGTTTGGTGAGCCCAGCATTTGACCCTTGCAGGAAAACAGAGGAGGCACATTCCCGGGAAGACAGAAGAGGGAAGAGGGACAGACTGCCGAGCTCGGGGTCTCAGGGACCCGAAGCTACTCTGCCTATGTCACCAGCGCAGTTCCCCTTCTCAGGGAACTCACGCCCAGTCTTCTCCAATGATTTCTAGAAAATAAAACATCCACGTGGAAACCGAAGAGCAATTTCCCAATTCTGAATACATCAAAGGAGCAATCTTTCTTTGCCAATGGCTCCATCTTCGGGGTCTGCAAGGGCGTTGCCCCTTCCGGTCCCCCAGGCGGGCCCCGGGAGCCTCGGTGCCCAGAGCTGGCATGGGGGCGCGGGCGTGTTTGCGTGGCCGCGCTGTGTGGTCTGTCCTCTCAGAAATCCGCCTCTCCTTGTCTGCGCGTAGGAAGAGACCCCTCCAACACTGCTCTGCTGCCACAACCACACGGGCGCGGCCGGCCGGAGGGGGTGTCGTGCCCAGGCCCGGGGTCCGCGCCCGCCAGCCGGCTTCCGGGCCCGGCTTCACCCCCGAGGGGCGCGCTCGTGGCGGGGGGGGGGGGGGGGGGGGGGGGGGGGGGCGGGGGGGGGGGGGGGGGGGGGGGCGCTGTTGGGCAGGCGCAGGCTCGTGGGCGGGGCGGGCGCGCGCTCGTGGGCGGGGCCAGCGTCTGGGCGGGGGGCGTTGCCGGGCAGGGTTACGCGCCGCGGCTCCGGGCCGGGGCGGGTGCTCGCCGCTGTGCAGAGCGCGCCTGGTCGGACCTGGGCGCCGCACCGCGCCGGTCGAGCGGGCACCATGGGCTGCACGCTGAGCGCCGAGGATAAGGCGGCCGTGGAGCGCAGCAAGATGATCGACCGCAACCTGCGCGAGGACGGCGAGAAGGCGGCGCGCGAGGTCAAGCTGCTGCTGCTCGGTGAGCCGGGCCGCGTGGACGCGCTGCGCTCGGGCCGAGGGCGCCCCAGCCCCCGGGTCCCTGCACAGCCCCCCGCCCCGTCCTTCTCTCTCCCGGGTCCGCGCATCGCCCGGGTCCCCGCTCCCTCCCTGGGCCCCCGCGCTCCCGGAGTCCCTAGGCTCCCGGTAACTGCGCTCCTCCCGGGTCTCCCCCCAACCCGGGTCCCTGTGCACCCGGGTTCCCTGGGCTCCCTCGGGTCCCCGCGGCTCTGGGCGCGCAGCTTGCGCGTGACCGCGGGGGCCCGGCGCCTCGCGTGCGCCCGGGTCCTCGAAGTTTAGCTCGGCCGGGCAGAGATGGGGGCGGTCGGTGACCCGGGGACCCCTTCGTGCCGCGGGTTGGCCTTCGCGAGCCTCCTGGGCGGCGACACGTCCACGCCCGCGGCGACTCTTGGCTTCCACCCGCGTCCGGGAGCCGAGCGGCTGCGCCGGGCTTTGTCCCCGCGGGGTCCGCGCGCCGCGAAGTTGGGATGCGCGTGGCAGCCGCGGCGAGGTGCCCGAGGGTCGCGGGGACTCGGGGTCCCCGCGCGCGCCGCGGTCGGTCATGGTCTCTGCGCACGAGCTCGCCAACCGCAGGGCGCGCGGGTGTCTGTCCTGGCGCCGTTCTCGCTCCGAACCCGCAGGTGGGGACGAAGGACGAGGGGTGCGCGGGTAGACCGAGGGGTGCACCAGGGAAGCGTGGGCCGCTGCGCTCGTCGGGCTTTGAGCGAGACCAGCGCTGAGGAAGGACGCGGACGCGAGAGCTGGGCCGGGATGCGATCCGCTTCCCTTTTGTTCTGCTTTCCGCTCCCACCTTGGGTGTGTAGGTAGATCGAAGATGCCTTCCGGTGTTCACCTGCCTTTTCGGCGGCTGCTTGTGTTTTTATAACAGAAAGAAAGGCTAGGACTGCAGGGCGCTCGCAGTTTTCGGTGAGCGTCTGCCGCCGGTTTAATGACTGCAGAGAAATAAATGATGGCTTTGCCTTCTCCAGGACTCCTAGGCTTGGAAGAAGCAAACTTGGCGTGTGACTGAAAGTAAAAAGGCTCTGAGTCCTTTTGTGAGCAAGCCGTGAATGAAATAACTTTGCATTTTAAAGGTCTGGGTGGCTCTTTTGACCCTCCACGGCCTCTCGCATAAATCTGTCTTAGTATTAAACACAGTCGACCTCGGTTTTCACGTTAATAAGAAGCACCGTGTTTCGGAGGGTTCTGTGCTTGCAGAGCGCGGTCTAGGCCCAGACTCACACAACTCCTGTTGTGAGTTGCGTGTTCTTTCTACAAAAACGAAGGATCCAGACAAAAGGAGGGTTGAAAAGTTCTTCGTGAGTAGTTCCGTGCCCCTGCGCGGCTGTGACATTTACCCTCTGTGTATTTGGGGTGGCTCCTCGTTTGAGGCAGCGGCCACTGAGTGGTGTACGGAGCAGTTGGAAAAAGGGTCTTGGATGAGGGCCAGGTGTTGGCCCTGGTGCCATGTCTGGGAAGGCCGAGGAGAAGGCGGAGAAGAGGCTTTTGCTCCCGCGGGCAGCACAGGGCCCGCGCGTTAACGCAGCGGCGTGGGCACTGGAGAGCGTTTCTCTACTGCAGGCCCAGGCCGGCGCCTGCCCTGGGAGATGCGGAGCTGCGCCTTTGGCCTCCGCCCCTGATGCTGGCACCAACCCTGCCAGCTGTGACCCTCGGGAATGCTGCCAGATGTCCCCCGGGGCAAAACTTAACCTCCGCGTAAAACTGCTCTCCTGGGTTGACCATGAAATGTAGCTGCACGTGCATGGTGCATGATGGAAGGCCATGCCCGACCTCTGGAGCCCTCCGTGCTGACTTACGAGGAGGATATGGGGATCCGTGTTTTGAGAAGAAATCGTGGAATTCTTGTTTCTCCATACGATGATATTAGAGCAATTCCAGAATGATGTTTTTTAAACTTCAGGTGACCGAATTCCTTTGTCTCCTCCAGTTGGGGCTTCTGCTTTTCTGTGTCCCTTCTCTCGGCAGAAACTCGCTGCCTTCCCTTGCTTCTGGCTGGGCCTCGTCTGTCTCAGGCCCGGCCCACCCTCTTTCGCCGAGTTCCCACACCCAGCTCTGCTCCTGTAAACAGCACAGCCTTGCTGATGTCCTAAATCTTAATTCTTGGAATGTTTGAAAACATCTTTTTTTCACTAATTTGACTTTGTGAACTTTGGTTCCTGTTTGGATGTTTAAAGCATGTACGAATAGTTCAGGGAAATCCTTCTGCCCAGGACATGGTGACCAAATCAGGAAGGAGGAGGAAGGAGGAAGGAGGCGTGGGCTTGGAAAACCCTAACCAGTGTCCCTCCCTTACCTCTGGTCCTTCCTTCCCTGCAGGTACTTTATTATGCTCGTCAAACAATTTCTTAAAATTTATTTGAGGCCTAAAACCTCCAAAGCACACTTGAGTCAGTATATTAAATACCCTGTTAGGTTGCATTTTAAAGTAAAGAATGTATCGCCTTTAGACAAGTGGGCTGAGACTCAGGTATGAGGTTTGTACATTAGTAAAGAATTTGGTTCAGGGTATCTTATATATTTGCTTTAAATCAGAGTCCCTTCGCTGTCCTAGTTAGCTACAGGGGATTAGGGTTTAAACAGGACCTAATCCAGAGGTGGCGAACCCACGGCATGTGTGCCGATGCGGGCTGTGGGCTGTTTGTATCACTGAAAGTGCTAGAAGGTTCGCCCTCACTGACCTCATCAAATCAACGTCCTGAAGAAAATTAGGTCGGGATTTGGGTGGTTTGAGCTTTTCAGGTTTCGGTTTATAGGTTTTAGTAAGTATTGGAATAGTAATCCTAAATGAGAAAGCTTATTTTAATGGAAGTAAGTAAGACGTTTTCTTTTTCTTCTGTGTGACTAGTGGTTTCAGGGGAATATATTGTTATATCTCTAAGAATGTTGTAATTTATCATCCTTTTGAAATCAGTATCAGTAGGACTATGGTGCTTTTCAGTCAGACAATAGCGTGCTGCTGATAATTATTAAATGCTACTTTTCTACGATTTTCATAGATATAATGAGTTAGATAATTTTTAAGTATAATTTTTATGAATGAAAATTCTTGAAGTAGAATTTCACTCCAAACCTTAGAGCTTTCTTTTCCTTTATTCCGTGTTTCAGTCCTGCCCTTCAGCTATCTCTACAAATAAAACTCCATGCCAGTGACTTGCAGCTGGGTCTAAATGTTTCACAGCTGGGAGAAAGCAGGCCGAGGAGCCCTTGTTTTCCCATTGCTGCAGCCAGCCTCTTGGGGCGCCCCATCTCTCCTGCTGTGGCTGCCTCTGAACTTGCCCTGTGCCTTCCTCACTGAGCAGCTCTGGCCCTGCTGGAGGTTAATTTTGTTTGGCTTTAGTTACCTCCTTCTCACGGCCCGGCCCGGGAGCTGAGGGAGCATAAAGCCCATTTCCTTGATGCCCAGGAGCTGGGCTGTGAGTCTCTGAGGCTGGTTCCCTCTTATTCAGTTTGCGGAGTGGAAGCCAGGTGGTCGGAAAACACATCTGGAAGGTGCTGATTTCTTTGTGTCGTCCTCTGCTTTTCATTCTCACGTCCCTCTGCCCTCTGGCCTCTCCTCCTCCGCTTCCGACTGCCTGGTTCAGGAGCCGCGTGCTCTGTTCTTCCTGCTCTAGGTGTCATGCTACTTGCTTGGTCAAGACTCCTCAGAAACTTTCTCTTGGTCCTGGCTTTCTTCTGTCCTTAGAGATTCTTCTCAGAGTGCCTGCCTCCTCCTGCGAGAGCAGTCAGCGAGCGAACCTGCTGTGACTCCCACCTGTGCTCCCTGTCTCAGGTTTGGTCTTCTGCTCATCCTGTCTCCCTGGGCTGTGAGCACCTGAAGGCAAGGACCCTTAAGGTGTTCTTGGCCCTGCTCACACTTCTGAGTGAAATGGAAAATATCTTTTAAAGCGTGTGACACTGTCTTGCTGAAATACCAGCTTCACCCTCTGCCATGTTTGTTTTCAGTATCTGTGGTAATAGATAACTACCCTGCTAAACAATGTGGTGACCAAAATAAATGCACGGTATTTAAAAGAAAACACTTCGGTTTAGTATTTTGTTTTCCATATTTACTAGGATTTAGTAGATGTTTTTTACATCTGAAAAAGGATTGTCATAGTTTTTTTTTTTTTTTGGAATCAGGGTCTCATTATGTAGTCCAGGCTGGCCTGGAACTCACAGTGATCCTCCTGCCCCAGCCTCCCAAGTACTGGAATTTTAGGCATGTGGTACCATGCTGGACAAGATTGTTGTAATTTACACAAAAATTCAGTTTTCAGCCACAATCTTCATTTTTGTTCTGTTACACATTTCTCACTGCCTTAAGGAAAGTCAAGATACAGCCGATCCATGGGAGAGGACTGGAGTGGACTGGTCATGTTTCTGGGTCACGTATTTCTCGATCGCATGTCCTGGCATGCGTGTCCCCAGTGGACGGCTGCTCTGAGCGTGCCTTAGCACACTTCCGATCCCAGATGGCATGAGCCAATGAGCGAAGGTCAGCAGGGCCGAATCTTGGATCGCTTAGGCTGCCTTCTCTCATAATTTGTTACATGCTAATTAAAAACCTTAACAGAACTAGGACAAAATAATTTTGAAATGAACGTTTAGTATCATAACACTGTGGCTCCAAACAACATAGAACTCATTCCCATACAGTCTTGGAAATCAGTAGTCCCTTACGAAGTGGGCCAGGGGTCTTTTCTCCCAGAACTCCTGGGGGGCCATCCCTTCCTTGTCTTGGCCACCTGTGCTTGGAAGCTGTGTTCATAGCTTCCGGTCCCTTTTCCCACTGTCCAAGCCAGCAGTGGCCACCGGAATCCTCCCCCGTGGCCTCCTCCCTCCAGCACATGGGAGGACCTTGGGGTGCATTAGGGCCACCCACATCTTCTGGGACACCAGCCCCTTGTCTAGTTCCTGGGCTGACTTACTGGCGTGGCAAGTCCCCTGTACCCTGGAAGGGAGCAGTCACACATCTGGGGATGG